CGGGGGCGATATGCTGACTCTGTAAACCGCTTAGAGAGGGCTGAAAGCCCTATGAAGCGGTATATAAGTCTAACTGCTATTGCTATTGCTAAACTTGGTCACTCTTATCAACTGTCCAAGTTAGCAAATCCAGAAACTCCTGGGACACAAAAGTATAAAACTTTACTGAATGAGTCACAATTGGCACAAGCAGAAGCAAAACCGGCTCTGATTTTCGCGCGCTAAATCAAGCAAAGAAACTCCATAAAGTACAAAACGCTTGCAGGTTGAGGATTAGCTGAATAAGCCATAATTGGCACAGCAGAAGCAAAACCAGCTCTGGTTTTTGCGCGCTTTAAAGAAGCATAGGTGAATTCACACCTTTTCCTACGGGCTACCCACAGTCCGAATAATAATAATCGCCCGCGTGATTGTTAAAACTGCATGCGAAGAGGAAATGTAGGTGAAATTACGATTCGGTCTTGGCTTCGTCCTTCTACTGAAAGGGTCAATGTTCTCCTGTTTGCGGCCAGGTTTTGAGAGCCCAAATCTCCCAGGGATGCTTGGCTGAACACCTGCAGAAGTTGTTTGGGTAGCCTCCGGTAGCGTAAAAGCGGAATCATCCGGAAGGTGTCTCTTCTTTTTTCAGAAATGCATCAGCAGAGGAGAGCTACAGGTTTCCTTGTCCTACCAGCCTGTCACTCAGAGGATGACCGTCATGGTGTTGAAGGCGAGACAGCTGCCCAAGATGGACATCACGGGGCTCTCAGGTAGAAGCTATTTTCTCCAGCCTATCGGTTGCGTTTCCTCCAACGCCGGGTGCTGAAACGTTGGTGGGACTGTCCCAGTTGATCCCAGACCTTTCCCCTACCTTTCTGGGTTGATGGCCTGGACCAGGGGGAAAAGGGGGATGATTTTCGGGGGTGGGGAGTTGGACAGGCGCATGTAAGTGTGTGAGCGCCCGCGACGTTCATAGCCACGCTCACGGGACGAGCGTCTGCAATGACGCTCACACCAGAGGCCACGAGTACCTGCAGTGCTTGTGGGTTCCACCACAAAACCGCGTTCGACTAAAGGGCGCTCGACGAAACCGCGTAGCTGACGTCATCACAGCGCGACAACAGCACGGAGAAAAAAGCACGCTGTAAACGCTAACCCTAAAATTAACCCCTAAACCTAATCCTAAACCTAACTCTAAACCTTAACCTAACCCTAAACCTAACCCTTACCTTAGCGTTTACAGCGTGCTTTTTTCTCCGTGCTGTTGTCGCGCTGTGATGACGTCAGCTACGCGGTTTCATCGAGCGCCCTTTAGTCGAACGCGGTTTTGTGGTGGAACCCACAAGCACTGCAGGTACTCGTGGTCTCTAGAGTGGGCGTCCTTGCCGACGCTCGACCCC